GTACATAATTTTACATAGTTATATGTATATTTATAATATATTTATATATTTGTATATTTATAAATATTATATCATACATAATTATGTAAAAATATATATTTCTTTGCTGAAAGAGCAGCTAAAACATATTTACTTAACATTAATCACAATACAGTATAATTTCATTACTTTTAATTGTGTTTATTAGTGACAGTATACAAAGTAGCTCATTTAGATATGAATGGTGAATAGATATTGAGATCCAATGTAAAATATGTTCATTTTCCTAAGTACAGGTATAATCTTGCACTTTCTATCTTAAAATGTTGTATCATAATTTTGTATATATCTACTAATACATGTAGCTTTTTCATGTTTTTGTTTATTAGATTGTTATTGAAATCATTGAATGACATTTTTGCCTGCCTTTCTGATTCCTTTCCCCAAACTTAATCCCAGTGCTAATTTTGTTAATTGTAGTTTGGTTGTCCACTGCAGAGTGGTCAGCCCTGAAACCATAAAACACAAACAAAAAGGCAGACTCAGTAGGTTGCAAATATACATTTGTGCTTGTACACACATACATGTAACAATAATAACTAAAGAAAATGAAGCTAGTAACTTGAGAGTGGGGGGCATGAGAAGAGTTGGAGGGAAGAAAGCGAGGGGAAAGCATGATGTTATTCTCTTTCAATTAAAACATATTTTAAAATATAGTTTGACTATAAATGTGTGTATTCTTGAACTATATCATTTTATTTTGTGTATTATAATTAAATTATGTACCATACTGTTTTCTGAATTCCTTAGATATTTTTGTTCACATTGGATGCTTCTTCCACTTAGAGTTGTATGAGACACAAATCAGCCATGTTATCTTACAAATAATATATTTAAGGTTACTGGATTTAATTTATTTGTTAAATTAATAAAAAACAACTTTTGGTGGATTCTATCACCTACTTGTGGTCTTGTATCTAGACCTTTGTGACAAAGTAGGCCAATTTTTAACTAAACACATGAGGATACATTACTGGGACTGAGGGTAAATGATAGCCTTGGAAGCCTTTGGCACCACTGCCTCTTAGAAAATAACAATTCCTTTTATAAACCATTGTCCTATGACTATTGAAATAAATAATTAATGAAATAAATGAACAGAATGTGGGTAACTGTGACTTAATTTCACACAGATCTAGGCCTCCATCAAAGGCTTTCAAACCCGCTGAAGGACAGAACTATGATTGTCAGGGTTTCCAAGAATCACCAGGTGCAACAGAGTCTGCAGTTCTCAGCCCCCCATCCCTGCACCTGAAACTTCTTATGCAGGTTCTCCTCATATTCAGCATGACCCGAGTCTTGCTGGGGTGTGGTTGAATAATCAGGCTAAGGCTGCTTCCTCTTTCAAGTGTGTTTAGCATTGCTTGCCTACTTAAATATTTCATTATGGGTAACTTATAGTTCTTACACATTTTGAAAATTTCCTTTAACATTACAAATTTTCCAAAGGAACTTGGCAGTTAGCAATTCATTCTTGGCAAGGTCCAAAGTTTTTACCTCCAGAGACTATTGAAATGAGAAATCTATACAAAAGAGATGACTTCATTTGAATTTGTTACAAATATACCAACAAAATTATCTACTAAAATAGGAATGATGTCGTAGACTGTATAGTGAATATTAATGAAAGAAATGTTTTCCTGGTTGTATGACTCAAGATAGCTGCAAACTCATACTCTGCTCAAGTTGGAGGGTTCTTATTTAGTTGTTGAGGTATGTTATTTTTTTTCTGTGTTTCTCATTGCTTATGAGAGTTTGTGAGAAGCCTCGATTTCTTGGAACTTTCCACATGCAGGAACATGTTTTTAATAACAAAGGAAAAAAAACAGGGGATTCTACTTGAATGACTTAAACACTGAAGACTTCTGTTTCCATTCTACTATATATCTTAATGTTTCCAAGAATTTAAATTGCTGTCTTTGCCTTGTTGGGCACCTGGCTTATTTGTGAGCCAAGTAAATGCTATTGTATCTACTAAAGCCAATGCTCTTTTAAAAATTGATATTTATTTTTGAGATGATAGTACAATGACAGCATTTCTCCTTTCCCCTTCCAAACCCTCCCATTTACCCCTTCCTAATCTCCTTCAAATTAATGTGCTCTTTTTTCACAAATTGTTACTGCGTATGTGTGTATACAAGCATACAACTTGTTCAGTCCAGATAATGACAATGCTCTTTTTTTTTTTTTTTGAGACAGGGTGTCTCTGTGTAGCTTTGCACCTTTCCTGGGACTCACTTGGTAGCCCAGGCTGGCCTCAAACTCACAGAGATCCGCCTGGCTCTGCCTCCTGAGTGCTGGGATTAAAGGCATGTGCCACCACCGCCCAGCCGACAATGCTCTTTTAATACTTTTACTACAAATGATTGAAATGTGTAAAAGTACACACAGTTAAATTTAATGATATTTTTTACTTGTTTCCACAAGTTATTCATTTAATTTGGCTTTACAAGGTACTTTTGGCATAGTTATTAAAACATAACATCTTCTTTGCAAGAACAAGCTTCCCCAGGTGTTGACAATATCCAACTACCCTTCACAGTAAGTTTTCACAATGTATTTAAGTGTTTTTTTTTTATATTTGATGGATTAGCTTGCATGCACTTGCACTTCTCTAACAGACTGAGGTATGGGGACGTGATGTGGAAGTGCATTTGCTGAGGCCGTTTGGAACTGTTGTTGCTGCTGTGTCCTGAACACACCCACTGCATCACTCTGCCTTTCTCACTGCTATCTCCTCTAGCTAGTCCTCTGTGTCCTCACACAGCTTTGCTTCTGCTTTCATGGCACCTGTACAACTGTGATTTTATGTGTCTGTATAAAAATAAGGACCCACAAATGAGAGAAAACATGTAGTGTTTGTTTTTCTGATACCATTTTAATTCATTTACCTTGACTTTCTGCAGCCTCATCCATTTTCCTACAAACACTATTAGTCTCACTCTTCTTAGTTGCTGAAAAACGGTTCATTGTTATACACTATATTTTAAGACTATATTTTAAAAGACACACGTTTTAAACAATTTTGTTAATTTTTTCTAGATAAGCACTAACAATATTTTAAGCTTAAAGTAGTCTTTAATTTTTATAGTATCAAATCTTAGATAATTTATAGAATAGCTGACATGAGTTTAAGTGTGGTATGGATTAAGCCCTCTATCTTAACTTAACTATGTAAACAATTAGCTGCCCTTTAGAAGTTTTGTTCTGGTGAAACCCAACACTGATAAATAATGAAAGGCACTAAAACACAGAGAATAAAAAGTAGAAGAGACAGAATTGGACATAGTTACTTTATTTCTCTATGTTGTACAGTAAGCATGTTTTTATTAGTCTAATATTTCGTAAGTGACATACATCTTCTGACCTAGATGGAAATAGAAATATGAATGAAATATGCAGATGATGCATCACAATTACTTCTAACAAAAGGCCAGATGCTCAGTGTAAAACTCTGCATATTAATCACAACACCTATTCACTTAAGATGTTGCATGTACGTAAAACACATTATATGAAACAATCAAACCTAACCAAACACCATATGAGGAAGACTATGTGGAAGTCTCTGTTGCAAAAAATGTTGAAACAGAGGCAAAGGGAATGATTTTATTGAGTTGCTCAAGGTCACAGAGATAGTACATAAGGATCAGGAGGCTGTAAATCTTGCTCATAGCTCCACAGGTCTCAGTGTTCACGACTGGGCTACTTTATATCTCTAAATGTGGCTCAGGTTTTATCTTGGTACATCATGAACAATGAACTAGAGTCATTACTTGATTATAGTAATTAACACATTTCCATTTACTCAATTAGTATGATCCAGGAAACAGAAATAAGCTTGGAAAGAAAAGGATTCCGAAGTCATCTTTTCTAACCCTTTTAGTTTTCAGTATGAAAAACAGACAAATATATTTGTAACTATAATTGTATGTCTAGAGATGATCCAACACCATGCCTTCTCACACTATTTTATGTGTTTTCCTTTGAGAATACTGTCCTCGGTTATTTTGATACTGAATTTCAGTGTGAGCACTCTGAGTACCTAGGAAGCATTAGTATAAAGCCATACCCCACTGCTCACTATCTTTTCTTTCAGTTTCTCTTTTCTCAGCTCTCACTATCCAGTTTATCCCGATAGTCTTGACAAAGTATGTTGGCTGTTGATACAGTAGTTGGTGAAAGATGTAGGTTAGCACATCTATAAAATATTTGTTGAAATATTGATAGCCTATAATGATGGTAAGAACTGATGTATTTAAACAGCGATATGGGTCCAGAAAATTTTGATGATCAAACTCAGATGAAGTAATTGCTATAGGCAATAATATGCTAAATAACATTGGACTTATTTAAAACACATTAAAATCTAGTCCCCTAAGCCTGGAGGAGACATACTTGAAGAATAAAAATCTTTTGAGATCTCAAAATCCAGCAGAAAGCTGGATGCCCCAGGATGAGTGCTGCTTTGTGTGCTACATAGAACTATTATAAAGTACTCTTCATAGTACTAACAGTTTAAAAGCCTGGAGTGGCATGCAATAATATACTTAAGAGTTTATTGCCACCTCTACATTTTAAGGTTTTTGTTGTTGTTATTTTGTTCTATTTGTTTTTTTTTTTGGAGGAATTCTTCTGGGTGTTTGCTGATACCTCTGACAATAAGTAAGTGGTTTTAAACATATGACTGAAGCACTTTTGTTTGTTATCTTATGTGGAGCTCTACTGAGGTCTTGAGGTAAAATCTAAGTACTTATCAAATTATTAGCACCAGGGGTGTGGACATATTTGCCAGAGAAACTAAGCAGATGCTTATCAAGTGCCTACTTCTTGTTTATTACTGTAAAAGTTATTAATGAACATGTGCTTTGTGACAGAATGGATTGATAATCTTGTTCAAAATATCATGGCAGGTCCTGTTCTGAGCTCTTGCCTCTTAAACAAGCCTGAAAGAAGAGTAAATGGAACTGAGTAACAATGTCACAGAATTTATCCTGCTGGGTCTCACTCAGGATGCTGCTGGGCAAAAAGCATTGTTTGTTGTGTTTTTACTTATCTACATTGTGACGATGGTGGGCAACCTGCTCATTGTGGGGACAGTGATTGTCAGCCCCTCCTTGGACTCTCCAATGTACTTCTTCCTTGCCTACCTGTCACTCATGGATGCTGTTTATTCCACTGCGATCTCACCCAAATTACATACAGACTTACTCTGTGCTAAGAGGCCAGTCTCCTTACCAGCTTGCATGGTCCAGCTCTTTGTAGAACACTTATTTGGTGGTGCCGAGGTCTTCCTTCTGATGGCGATGGCCTATGATCGCTATGTGGCCATCTGTAAACCACTGCACTATTTGACCATCATGAATCACTGGGCTTGTATCCTCCTGTTGGTGGTATCCTGGACTGGAGGGTTTGCACATTCTCTGGTTCAAGTTATGTTTGTATATAACCTTCCTTTCTGTGGCCCTAATATCATTGAC